GAGGGACGGGGTGCGGCCTGGGGGTGGGCGTGGCTAGTGGTGTGACGGGGCGTGGTAGGGGCGTGGCGGGGGACAGAGTGCGCCTGCGCGCTGGGTCTTTTTCTTCTTGGGCGGCCGCGTGCCCGCCCCCAATGATGAGAGGTGAGTGGGGTTGTCTGTCAGTCCGCAATCTCAGGGGTTCTCGGAAGCTCTGATTTTAAGCCCTTCCACCACTTCAACATTAATTTTGGGACGGATTGACAGAAGCAGATCATTCTAGGGGAGGGGGAGCTAATAAAAGTGACCCCGAGGTTTCCCTCTGCGCGCCCAGGGCTGAGAGCTTTGCCTACACGGAGAACCTCCGTACCCCTACCGTGGCTCATTTCTGAAGAATTTCCTCACATAGTAAATAGAAGCATACGAGCCCTGGGAGTAATGCCTGTTTGTGATTGTACTGTGCATGTCTGGTTGTGCACTTGGGGCTCTACGTGGGCTCTGCTGCATTTTCGGTGCAGAGATGCGCATTCCCTGGCCCTTGGTATTGCGCTGTCCAGGGCACGCAGGAAGCCACCCTGGGAGGAGACCACTGGGGCGAGGCAGGAGGGCGATTCTTGACAGTCTGTTCCAAGCTCACCCTCCCTGGTGCACTGAGGGATCCGAGGAGAGTGAAGGGAATCCCGGAGGCTGCGGAAAGCCTGCTGGTTTCCCGAGGGAAGCCCTCGATTTCTACTGTCCGTTCCTTCCTGCTTCCACATAGGAGGCGTGGGTGGCCATCACCTTCCCCACTTAGAGCATCCTTGCGTGGTAGATTTTACATCTTCAGGTAACCATTTGGCGTCCGGAGATGGTCTGGGACGGCCTCTAGAATTAACCTGGCTCAAACCTCTGTACCCAGATCAGGTTTCCACCCTGAAGGCTTGAAGGCTTGAAACCCAGGGTTCATCAAGTCTTGGGAAAGCGGACATAAAATGCCCACTACTTAAGTAATGGATTCCCATACATAACTTTTTAATGACCTGAGTACAAATATTCTTTACGGAAGATTTTTATCCATAGAATGAGGGAAAAATTTCAGGTTCCTGGGTCTCTTTGCTGTGTATGCAAATGGTGTTTTCATTACAATACTAAGGAAAAGCTCCAAGTTTTGTACTTTGAGATTTAGTTAGCATAGTATTAATAACCAAAGTGATTATTAAACTGATTGAGGGTTGCTCCCACCCCACTGCCTATAAAGTAGTTTCTTAGTAGTCATTTTACACATGAAATATTCTTTTACTGAAAACCTTGACCATTATTCTGGGCGTATACTTAGTATTCCGGTTTTCTTCCATGGGGAAAGAGGGGAGTTGAATAGAATGTTGGATAGACAAAATTTTTCTCCTAGGAAGTAGGTACTTTTTCACATACATATCTAATCGAATTTTTGCAAAGTTTCAAGGTCGATATTGTCCCCATTTTATACGTGAAGAAATAGGCTTACAGGGATTAAATAACTTGTGTACCTTCAGATGAGTAGGAAATAAAGTAGGATTCAAAGCTGACTTCTGAGCCTGTATTTGCTCCACCAGATCATGCTGCCTCTCAAATTGTGAAGTTTTAACTCTTGTAATTAATGGTACAATCCTCTTAAAGGTGCTCTCGGCTCAAAATGCAGATTTGCACTTTAGTTTTGTATGTTTTATTAATTTCTATATTGTATATAAGCTGTCTCTCAAGTATAAACAATAAAATAAAGTAAAACATAGTAGTACATGTATTAAATACATAATAAACATGTAGGCCACTCAAATCAATCACATCTTCAGTGAAAAGCCAGACTATTAGATGGCTGCGAATTGGCCATTACTGTAGGGAGGCATAAGTGCCATAGTCTTTCCCATCTGGAAAAATAACTTGCTAGGGCACAGCCCAGTGAACTTCGCCCTTGCTGTAGCAACTCAAGTGTGCTCAGCAGAATGAAGCAAGCAAAACTGGTTAGCTCCTGAAACAGACTTCCCTGTCTTGGCCGATGAATGCCATCCATGAGCTCACAGACTTTTTCCTTCTTATATCTGGGATTCTATTATCCTCTCATTCTTACTTTCGAAGGAATTATGCTTTCTTTTTGAAAAGAAGAATGTTAAAGATATTTTGACAGTCTTTCACAGCTATTGCTTTAAACAGTAATGAAATTAAGCCTACAAAAAATTTCTCAATAGTGAGGTCATGTATCTAAGTCAAAAACAATAACAAAGAATGACTACTTGAGAAAAAACGAGTCTGGCTGCTTCAGTGACCTATGCCAGGAACTGGAGCACTGATAGCATGTGTTTCAGAGTTGAGTTTAACATCATGCTCAGGATTTTCTTTAATGGTTTTTATGCCAGCCTGACTGTGTACTGGGTCATACAAAGTGGTTTCTTTCTTAAAAACTTATTAATTAGTTATTAAGCCAAACTTTTTTTTGGACTAATCCAAACCACATTTGTGATCTTTTAAAAATCAGAAATATTAGAAAAAAATTATACTTTAAAAATCTAATGTGTTTCTGGGGCCTTGATCTACTTATCATCACACTTTTGAGTGATAGTAACTGGCAGTTATGTAGCACTTACTATTGCCAGGCAGTGTTCCAAGTGCTTTTTATAAACCAATTTAATCCTTATAACAACCCTATGAGGGAGAGACTATCCTCTACTTTACAGAAGAGGAAGCTGAGGTAAAGAAAAGATAAGAAACGTACTCAGAGTCACACAGTTAATGGGAGATGAAACTGAATTCAAACCCTGGCAGTCTGGCTCTAGGGTCTGTGTTCTTAACCACTAGACAAACTGCCTTCTTTGAGTGCTACACTTAAGAATACAATCTTAATTTTTATTTTTTCCTTCTATCCCCTTTCCTCGGAAGTTGACATTTAAATTTATCTGGCATTAATTGTACTTATTTAATAAAGATTTACTGAATTATAAAGTACATTACTTGCATTTGACAACCAAAACTAAATAAGAAAAATGACATGAGAATCTTGCACTGCCACAGACTGCCATTAGTCAGCTTGCAGCTCTGCTCTGTTAGCAGCATCTTTGAACATTTTGCAGGAATATCCTTCATAGGGTGTCTCTATCCAAAGAAAAGGATATTTAGTACTTTTAATTGCAAAGACAGGTAAGCCAGGTTGGAGACTTGGAAAATAGATCTGGCATTAGGAAGAAAAGAGAAGATGGGGTAAGATAAAGGAATTTGAAAAAGGTATAGAAAAATAATAATAGAGGATAAAGCAGGGCTTTTTTTTTTTTTAATATTGAAAAAGAAGAAAAAGAAACCAATAGCGAGGGCTCTATAAATCAGGTCCCAGGGAATAAAAAATGTGATTTACCAAAAATTTTCAACCTGAAAGAACTGTACCTTATTCTGCTTCCCTTCCTTGGAAGATAAAGCAGGCTGTCATAAAGCAAGGGAGTTCCGTGTTACCTGCCAGCATCAAGTTCCCTCATTCAAAATGCAGGCATCCTTGTGTACTTCTAAATACCTTTTCCTCACCAGTTTAGATTCTAAGTAATACTGCTGTAGTAATTAGGAAAAAGAAATGTTGAGGATACAAAAGGGAGGGAAAGCAAAGTTCGATACCAAAGTAGGTTTTGCATTCTCAGAAGAAATAAAGATAAGGATAAGTAAAGTTAGTCCTTGGATCTACTCGTCTGTTAGTAGGGAGGGAACTTAAACCTGTGACTTGTTTGCAAAGGGCTGATGAGAAGTGTTTTGTACAAAGTTTTCATGGCTGCAGATAAGGCTACATAACCTCGTATTATTGAAATAAGGTTGGAAAACACTTAGCTATGCCAAGTAATTCAAATAAAAGTTTCCCAAAGCATCTCAAACATTCAAGTGATTCTGTCTTTGGACTACAATAGGGCCAGGGAGCGAGAATTCACCATCTCTAGATTATAGACTCAGAAAGCACCCAACATTTGCGGAAAGGACCAGACAGAGAAAAAAAAAATACTTCTTGGTATTTATAATATCTGCAACAAAATAAAATTATAAGTATCTTATTGAAAGCGTGAGCAAGATCCTAAAATGTTTCTAGTAACAAAGGACACGTTAAAATGAACCCAGCATTACTAATTTAAGATATGAACAATGTCATTTAGTCTCTATAATTTTGTTTTTGCAAATGTAAAAATATTTATAAAGTTATTCAAAAGATTTCACTTATAGTCACAATCCCTTCAAACTTATTTTCTCAATAATTGTCCTGCACATGAGTATCCCAAATGCAGGGGTCAGAAACTTGATTTTTGTGTTGAGAAGTATATTAGTCTGTTTCTGTTGCTTATAACAAAATACCTGAAACTGGATAATTTACAAAGAAAACAAAATTTATTGCCTACAGTTTCGGAGTCTGGGAAGTCCAAAGTCCAGGGAACACATCTGGTGAGGGTCTTCTTAGGTGGTGGCTTGCAGCAATGCAGGGGTCTCACATGGCAGAAAATGGCAGAGCAGAGAGAGAGAGACTCTTACATACCTTCCTTTTAAAGCCCTCAGAACCACATCCATGACCACCATTACTAATCCATTCATTAGGGCATGGTCATCAGAATCTAATCACCTCTTCAAGGCCGGTCATTTCAATTACAGAAAAGGATTTCCCATCCTCAATAGTTACAATAGGGATTAAGGTTGAATGCCTTTGGGTAGGTCATTCAATCCACTGCGAGAATGAACTGTTGTTCTTCTGTCTGTTAAGACATGTGTGTCTATGGTTGTAGATGTAGTGGTGGGTAAGGTTAGTGCAGTTCACAAAATACCTGAAACTGGATAATTTACAAAGAAAACAAAATTTATTGCCTACAGTTTCGGAGCCTGGGAAGTCCAAAGTCCAGGGAACACATCTGGTGAGGGTCTTCTTAGGTGGTGGCTTACAGCAATGCAGGGGTCTCACATGGCAGAAAATGGCAGAGCAGAGAGAGAGAGACTCTTACATACCTTCCTTTTAAAGCCCTCAGAACCACATCCATGACCACCATTACTAATCCATTCATTAGGGCATGGTCATCAGAATCTAATCACCTCTTCAAGGCCGCTCATTTCAATTACATAAAAGGATTTCCCATCCTCAATGGTTACAATAGGGATTAAGGTTGAATGCCTTTGGGTGGGTCATTCAATCCACTGCGAGAATGGACTGTTGTTCTTCTGTCTGTTAAGACATGTGTGTCTATGGTTGTAGATGTAGTGGTGGGTAAGGTTAGTGCAGTTCGGGGGACAACTGCTAAGCCACTATACTTTGCAAATCCTGTAACCTGAGTCACAGAGAATATG